GTCTGTCTGTCTGTCTGTCTGTCTGTCTGTCTGTCTGTCTGTCTGTCTGTCTGTCTGTCTGTCTGTCTGTCTGTCTGTCTGTCTGTCTGTCTGTCTGTCTGTCTGTCTGTCTGTCTGTCTGTCTGTCTGTCTGTCTGTCTGTCTGTCTGTCTGTCTGTCTGTCTGTCTGTCTGTCTGTCTGTCTGTCTGTCTGTCTGTCTGTCTGTCTGTCTGTCTGTCTGTCTGTCTGTCTGTCTGTCTGTCTGTCTGTCTGTCTGTCTGTCTGTCTGTCTGTCTGTCTGTCTGTCTGTCTGTCTGTCTGTCTGTCTGTCTGTCTGTCTGTCTGTCTGTCTGTCTGTCTGTCTGTCTGTCTGTCTGTCTGTCTGTCTGTCTGTCTGTCTGTCTGTCTGTCTGTCTGTCTGTCTGTCTGTCTGTCTGTCTGTCTGTCTGTCTGTCTGTCTGTCTGTCTGTCTGTCTGTCTGTCTGTCTGTCTGTCTGTCTGTCTGTCTGTCTGTCTGTCTGTCTGTCTGTCTGTCTGTCTGTCTGTCTGTCTGTCTGTCTGTCTGTCTGTCTGTCTGTCTGTCTGTCTGTCTGTCTGTCTGTCTGTCTGTCTGTCTGTCTGTCTGTCTGTCTGTCTGTCTGTCTGTCTGTCTGTCTGTCTGTCTGTCTGTCTGTCTGTCTGTCTGTCTGTCTGTCTGTCTGTCTGTCTGTCTGTCTGTCTGTCTGTCTGTCTGTCTGTCTGTCTGTCTGTCTGTCTGTCTGTCTGTCTGTCTGTCTGTCTGTCTGTCTGTCTGTCTGTCTGTCTGTCTGTCTGTCTGTCTGTCTGTCTGTCTGTCTGTCTGTCTGTCTGTCTGTCTGTCTGTCTGTCTGTCTGTCTGTCTGTCTGTCTGTCTGTCTGTCTGTCTGTCTGTCTGTCTGTCTGTCTGTCTGTCTGTCTGTCTGTCTGTCTGTCTGTCTGTCTGTCTGTCTGTCTGTCTGTCTGTCTGTCTGTCTGTCTGTCTGTCTGTCTGTCTGTCTGTCTGTCTGTCTGTCTGTCTGTCTGTCTGTCTGTCTGTCTGTCTGTCTGTCTGTCTGTCTGTCTGTCTGTCTGTCTGTCTGTCTGTCTGTCTGTCTGTCTGTCTGTCTGTCTGTCTGTCTGTCTGTCTGTCTGTCTGTCTGTCTGTCTGTCTGTCTGTCTGTCTGTCTGTCTGTCTGTCTGTCTGTCTGTCTGTCTGTCTGTCTGTCTGTCTGTCTGTCTGTCTGTCTGTCTGTCTGTCTGTCTGTCTGTCTGTCTGTCTGTCTGTCTGTCTGTCTGTCTGTCTGTCTGTCTGTCTGTCTGTCTGTCTGTCTGTCTGTCTGTCTGTCTGTCTGTCTGTCTGTCTGTCTGTCTGTCTGTCTGTCTGTCTGTCTGTCTGTCTGTCTGTCTGTCTGTCTGTCTGTCTGTCTGTCTGTCTGTCTGTCTGTCTGTCTGTCTGTCTGTCTGTCTGTCTGTCTGTCTGTCTGTCTGTCTGTCTGTCTGTCTGTCTGTCTGTCTGTCTGTCTGTCTGTCTGTCTGTCTGTCTGTCTGTCTGTCTGTCTGTCTGTCTGTCTGTCTGTCTGTCTGTCTGTCTGTCTGTCTGTCTGTCTGTCTGTCTGTCTGTCTGTCTGTCTGTCTGTCTGTCTGTCTGTCTGTCTGTCTGTCTGTCTGTCTGTCTGTCTGTCTGTCTGTCTGTCTGTCTGTCTGTCTGTCTGTCTGTCTGTCTGTCTGTCTGTCTGTCTGTCTGTCTGTCTGTCTGTCTGTCTGTCTGTCTGTCTGTCTGTCTGTCTGTCTGTCTGTCTGTCTGTCTGTCTGTCTGTCTGTCTGTCTGTCTGTCTGTCTGTCTGTCTGTCTGTCTGTCTGTCTGTCTGTCTGTCTGTCTGTCTGTCTGTCTGTCTGTCTGTCTGTCTGTCTGTCTGTCTGTCTGTCTGTCTGTCTGTCTGTCTGTCTGTCTGTCTGTCTGTCTGTCTGTCTGTCTGTCTGTCTGTCTGTCTGTCTGTCTGTCTGTCTGTCTGTCTGTCTGTCTGTCTGTCTGTCTGTCTGTCTGTCTGTCTGTCTGTCTGTCTGTCTGTCTGTCTGTCTGTCTGTCTGTCTGTCTGTCTGTCTGTCTGTCTGTCTGTCTGTCTGTCTGTCTGTCTGTCTGTCTGTCTGTCTGTCTGTCTGTCTGTCTGTCTGTCTGTCTGTCTGTCTGTCTGTCTGTCTGTCTGTCTGTCTGTCTGTCTGTCTGTCTGTCTGTCTGTCTGTCTGTCTGTCTGTCTGTCTGTCTGTCTGTCTGTCTGTCTGTCTGTCTGTCTGTCTGTCTGTCTGTCTGTCTGTCTGTCTGTCTGTCTGTCTGTCTGTCTGTCTGTCTGTCTGTCTGTCTGTCTGTCTGTCTGTCTGTCTGTCTGTCTGTCTGTCTGTCTGTCTGTCTGTCTGTCTGTCTGTCTGTCTGTCTGTCTGTCTGTCTGTCTGTCTGTCTGTCTGTCTGTCTGTCTGTCTGTCTGTCTGTCTGTCTGTCTGTCTGTCTGTCTGTCTGTCTGTCTGTCT